AAGAACAGACTAGAGGCAAAGGGACCATTTAGTGAAGTGGTTCTCCTCCATGAACATTTTTTCTAAAGAGAGAGTCTAAGGGGAATCTCTTAATTTGGAATGTGTGGGGTATTTCTCATCATCACAAAGACTGGGGTGAACTACTGGCATCCAAAAGACAGAACCAGGTCCAGCACTTGGTAGTACTATGCAAGAGAACTGACGTGCATAACTCTCAAATGTACCCTGGGAATTCATGTAGATGAAAAAGTCTATGCTCTTGAGCCCAAAACCTGACTCCATCTTACAAATGAACAGTATTTTCATTTGTACAGTTTTAATATCAGAGGATTTTCAGAAATGCAACTACTGTGTAAATTGAGGGAAGGTTGTGCTCTATGTCATTTGGACCTTTAATGAGAGCTACACTGACTACTTGAGAAAAATCACAGGGGAAGACTGTTCACAGTCTCTGTATCGCTACTACAACACAATCCACCTCTGTCAGTCTGCATTCTGAGCTGTCGCATTCATAACAGTCTTTTGAATAAGACTAAACACCTGTTTTCTAGTGTAATCATGCCAGAGCCTTTACAATAAAATTTGCATTTCAACATGTAAATTATTTTCCCTTTATGTCTCATTTATATTACACTTTGGATATTACATGCTTTTGAAAATTATGAGGGTAAGTAGGCTATATTATCTATGGATTTCATTTAAGAATGGCAAAAGGGACACAGTGATTGTTATAAAATGGGGTATTTAATGGGATTTAGAGAGACTTGCTGTGAATACAGAGGGAGGCTGGACTGGAGGCTCAGCCCCAATACCAGGGTCCACAGGTTCTTGGCAGTGCTGGTCCCTGCACTATGGGAGGCTGAAGCTAATACCCCCAAAACCCAGCCACTGTGTTTGGGGAATGAGAGCTGAGCATGGGAGTCTAAGTTGAAATACACATGGAATAAGTGCATTTATGCACGGCCTGGCCCAGCAGGTGCCTGACCACAACTGAGGACCAGCCTGTGGGGGACAGTCGTGAATCACTGAGCAGACACTAAAGCAACACCAACTGAGGATCGAGCCCACTCATGGATTAGACTTACACACTTCAACTGGAACAGTAGAGTAAGACTCACTTCCCTGGAGTAAGAAAGCCCCCAACTCTCACACTACAGGGGTGGGGGACACTCAAGGAAACACTGGACTTCCTGCTACAGGAATGTAGGGCCCAAGCAGTTAATCAGAGAAATAAAAGAAGTATTATCGTTTGATCCCATAACCTGCAGATCCTATAAGATAAGGTTATATTTGGCAAAGGTGGAGTTTCGAATCAAATCACTGAGAAAAGAATGGGATACTGGGAACCTCCTCTTCTACTGGACTAGGTAATTAGGATCAACCCTCCTGCTGAGAAAAATTAGAAAGGCTGAACACGATATTTTTTTAAATCTGCTCAAAGCTAAAAAGGCAGAAAAGATGATTCTGAAGAATAAGGAAACCCAGAGAGGTGAGCCCAGCATATGGAGCTGCTTTTACTAGCAGCATCTGCCAACTGCATAGAAGACAGCTGAGATGCTGAGGAGTTGAGAAGACTATGCAGGCAATGAAGGGCTACGTCCTAGGACAGAGCTGGGTAGACTGGGAAACTAGCTGGCCCTCACGGGGGCTGAAGCCTAGTTCTGAATCATCTCAGTCTCTGAAAGTAAATCCAGAACTGCTGGTATCTTCAGCCATCTGTCAGAAATAAAAATAAAGTCTCTTTACCATTCAGGGCACAAATTACTGCCACAAATAATTCGTACACAAAGATCAATATCCAATCAAAAACAACCAAGTGAACAGAGAGAAGAAAACATTAATGAAACCCAACAAAAACAACAGACAACATAAACAGATCCACAGGGGCACCAGTCAATGGAGTTATCAGACACAGATATTAAAATAATTATGATCAAAGGGATAAAATATAAGATTACGAATTGTGTCAGAGAAT